CCATGCTTTGATCCTTAAAGGCTACTAATCCTGTACAGTTGCACAATAATATAGTCATGAGATTAAGTGTTATATACTGTATATATGTCCCTTTTAAATAAAATGTTCTGTATCATTCTGGACCAGTAAGAGCTTACACAACCACACATACATTTAAAATGTGCTCCATCTTGACCATACCTCTAACAAATTGCGTTGGAGAAGTTACACATCTTACATAGGCTGTGACACAACCTACGCTAAATACTGGAATCATATGATTATGCAAATTGTTTATATTTTTCCTATTACTTTCTTCCATTCTTTATCTGATATATTTATAGGAAAACATCTATTCCCACCCTTATTTTTACCTGCATTATTTGTTCCTGAATTTCTAGTTTGTACTTTAAACTGCAGCTCTTTCTCTACTAGTTAAAATGTTTTCAAATATAAAGATCTACTTAAATTAAAATCCTACACAAACTATCTAAACAGCCCTTGATTTAAAAAAAAAAATCAATTGGTAGAATCTGCAGATAAGCACAATCAATTACTCTCCCTCTGCTAAACAGAAAAAAAAAATCCAAATAAAAAACAGCCCCCTGCCCACCCATCACATACATTTTCCAATCGACTTTACTTCATGCATTTCAGTCACAATTTGCTATTGGGCTAGAAACTATGACAGTGGAAAGTCTCCAAAAGATGAAAAAACTAACATTTGTCTCAAACATCTGTTATTTCACAATGGCTGCAACAAGTCACAGGTAGAGTACTGTAGTTCTGTTGAACCCTAACCCAATCCCTACTGATTCAGTGGGCCTGCTCTGGTTGTGTCTTACTACCGGATTGAAGCCAATGGGCTAAAACAATTGAATGTGAATTGTTAAATCATCAAATGCTAAATCTCACTGATCCCATGGGCTATTCCAGTCAGGAGTAATGATTACACTAAGATTAGACTAACACTTTTTGCGTTTTTTGTAATGAGTCCAAAATTAGCTAATTACTAACGTCAAATGATATTATCAACATTTTTTAAAAAAACAATAGCTGTTTAGATACTCTCTCAAAGGCCATGCTTGGTGGGGTTGATGGAATGTGCAATATAACATCTGGAGGGCACTAGGTTAAGGAAGGCTATTAGAGACACATTTCTCAGAGAGCATCTGGCAGTCTTCTCAAGCTTATTGTAGAACAAATAGGTTCCCATCACATGAATTGCACCCACAGTATTATTGCATTAGTTCAGAGAGTAGGGTTGTTATTTCTGATGCTCAAAAAGCCCTTCTTAGAGTAAGGAATCTAAATCTCTGTAAAGTATGAAAGTGATGAGGTTCTCAAGCTTCAATATAATTTAAAATAAATCATCTATGATGACTTGTTTCTGTTGGGGGCAGGGAGAGCTATGCTTTGTCTAAGCTGACTTCCACAAAATTAAAGAGTTATGGATGCATGAAAATGAGGACAGTCTGATGAAAAATCCGTTGCTTGCTCTTGACAGCTTCTGCCTGAGTAGTTTTGTTTGGGAGAGGGTGTCTGTCCTCCTGACTGTCTGTCTGTGTGGTCTTGTGCAGTATTCCTTTAAAATCAGATAGGAAGGTAGCAGAGATGATTTTGCTTTTTAAAAAAGTCACCCCAAAACAAGCTATTCACAGACAAATCTTTCTACTCATTCTTATCATTTTGAACATGCAATTACGTATATTAAAAAAAATCTTAGGCTGAAATTATCATTTGCAGAGGCAAGAGTGTGGTATAAATGATCTTACAGTAGCATGACCATCACTGAAAATGACCCCAGTGTTTTAAATGCAGTGTATCATTACATACATTTGATTGCAGATGCAAAATTTAGATGGTCACACTAAACCTTGTCCAAAATTTAGTCTATCAGATCTTTTAAAATAAACGAAATCACACTGAATTTATTCCCCTTCATCCAGACCTCAAGACAAAGATACTATCAAAAGTAGAGATAGGATATTTGTATTGGTTAACCAATACAAATATACCATCTCTAATCAAAAGTAATTAGACTAAATACTGAAACAAAGATCCCCAGCGTTTTCATTATAACAGAAAATAGTGAAATGAACCATACTGGCCAGAAGGTGGCATTAGGCACATTAAGTTCTGTTAATATTCAAAGCCAGTATCCAGCTAGCACACAGCTGCTGCCTTGAATACCAAAACACAACTTTATCTTGATTTTATTTTTCTCAATTCTACATTGTTGTAACATCTTAATCCAAGGCGTGCTGTTCCTGGCCAAGCAAGAAACAGAGATTACTGTAAAGTATCTTAAAGTGAAGCCATTACAAAGCCTCCAGTAATTGTATTTGCAATACATGCCCAATCTTTGTATTAAGGTTAGAACAATGGCCATTACATAAATGCCTTCGCTACTGCCTACAGGAGCCTCATCAAATGGGTTCATCATATTTCTTCCAGCACCACATAGGCTGAGCAAAAACAGCAGGCACTATTCTTGTAGTACAATGGGCCTCTTCTAATGGGGGTTGGATAATTTTTTTAACAGGTCCTTCCCTCACAGAGTTCCTTCATTTTTAAAGGATCACTTAATGCAGCCCTCCTGGGATTGAAGCACTTCAAGAAGCAGACTTAAAAGTGAAGGTTGTGTGAATTTTTGACTTCGTATCTGTTACTTTTTTGGGGGGTGGGGAATACTAACTCCCAGAATTCTCCAAGAATTCTCCAGACAGAATTCTGAGAACTCCAGCCTATAGACACCTACAGACACATCTAAACCTGGGGAAGGTCTTAGCTTGAAGGCTCCATGACATTGTTCTAGCCCAGCCTACTGTTAAACAGGAAGCCTTAGGGCTTCCTGGACGTTGTACTCTCATTGCCCATTAGGCATGATATTGCTCTCCCTATGTCACCACCATCACTCTCAAGACTTCGTTGTTGCTCCTAAACTAAGCTGGGATATTAACAGATGATGTGAGGTGGGTAAGACAGCTTTTTCTCTGGTGCTCATAAAATAAATGCCTGGAAAATCTTCAGCTTAGAGTCTTATGCTGTTGGCGCCTTCTCTTTTTTGAGGGTGGGTGGGTATACAACTATCAGAATTATTCCAGCCAGTACAGGAGGAAGAGTCTAGGTACTGCAGTGCTAAAATGCATTTTTTTTCTCCTGACATGGTGACTCTTTTTAGGTAGAAAATACTCAGAGGTGGTTTGCCATTCCATTCTTCTGGGGGTATCCTGGGACTGTGTGCTGGCTGCTCAAGGCCACACAAGCTGGCTCTACTCATAGGATGCACAGTGAGGAATCAGACTCCCACCGTCTGGCTCCATGGCCAGTTATCTAACTCTCTGAGGTGCTTCACAGCACAGTGTGGCCATGGGGACTATTATACTGGATACCTGCATCCAAATGTGACCCCTAAATCAGTGGTACTCACTCATGGACTTCCCTATTTACACTGTAAACAGAATATTTACTTTATAATGCTCCTTCTGAATACATCTTTTGCTTTACATATGTCAACCCGGTGGGTGTAAGAGATAAAAATCTACATCAGTGTCTCCTTTGTTCAACAGCACTTCAAAGCACTGTTACAAGTGGCCTTCTATTCTTAACAAGATCTGACTTCTAATTAGTTTAAGCTTAATTAAAAATAGTGATACTACCGCTTCATTACCATTCCTAATCACTGAAACAGACTGCCTACATTAAATTCTCAAAGCTAATACAAAGCAATGCCCTACTATCATTTTTGCTTAACAACTCTTCCTCCCCCTCAAAAAAAAACACCTCCATTAAAAAGAGCAACAAAACGAAGAGCAAAGAACACTCTGCTACAGAAAAAAAACACACACATGACGTCAATATATTTAATTTTTAGCTTTGGGAAGGCATTTGCCATCCAGTATAGATTAATAAGTTATCCTATGCTACACCATCACCACAGCTTTCAACATGCCTTCCTGATAGTGTAACGTTGACATTCTCCACTAAGAAATCAGTCCAGTGAATTAAATGGGAGACACTCCCCGTAAATGGGTATCCGAATCTGAGGAAACAAACTCACTTTGTGATACAGGCTATATTCAGGGAACAAAGAAGTTTAACCTCAGTGGTTAAACTACTGTACTACAGCCAAAACTGTACTCATGTCCGGGGTCTCAATTTCAGGTAGCTCGCTCAAGGTTGACTCAGCCTTCTATCCTTCCATTAAATTGAGACCCAGCTCATGGGGGGGGGGGGAGAGAGATATGTTGGCTGCATAATAAAAAAAATGTAAACCACCTAGAAAATGCTTCTAAGGGCTATGGGGCAATATATAAGCAGCACACTTTTTTGCTTACTTTTAATAAGGAAAAAATTATTGACGTGATCAGAAGCAAGGGCATTGGAGGAGTTGAGAGCCTTGATGCTGACATACTAGCAAACTAAGAAATCATTCCTAAGACTGCCATCAAATTACTGTAGCCTTGTCCCCAGTAAAATATGATTAACCAACTGTCACATGGCCATGTTAAAAGTACTTTGAGAGCCTCCACTGAAAGACTAATGCATATTGTAAATACAAGTGATGTAGCTGCTGGGCAAGTGTTTCCATTATGGAAGTTATCCATCACAGTAAAAGTGCACGTAAGAATTCTTTGCTTGCTCTGCACACTTACTCATTAAATACACATTCTGTAAGCTGCTGCCTCAGAGCAGATGGGGACTTTGCTCTCTAGATGCCTGCTATGTGCTCACATGTAAATATCTGTGAAGCACATAGCAGACATATCTGTGAAGCCTGAATGCATTGTTCTCAGCTACAAATAAGCAAGTTATACACCATGAGTGAGGAGTGTTTCATTAGGCAGAGAATTGCAGTAAACAAAAAATGTTTGAAAGATCAGAAGAAATCAAAATGGCATCCCATTGCTCCTTCAAGGTAGTCTTTTGTTTCAGCTTTTTGCCATACCACCTCCTCCTTCCAGAATTTCATATTCAGCAAAAGCTTCAAGATGGAAGAAAATAAGTTTTAAAATTACCTGGCCAGGAGCAAGTGTAACAATATGGGCCTCTGCTTTCTTGAACTGCGGGAAGTTTTTCAGATCAGGATTAACCACATTGACTCTGCTGAACACACTAGATTCTTCATAGGGTATTCTGGTAGGATAAAGAAAGCTGGAATCTTCAGGTGGAAATAAATGCCACCTTTTCCTGGAAAGAGACGATGGAAATCCAAAGCTTGGCATTTTGTGGTGTAAATGTAAACAAATAAGGGGCTAAATCTGATTGTTAGTTCCAGCTACAATCGGTCTACTGAAGTGCATGGGCCTTGTTAAGTCAATGCGAATATAATTCCCACTGGTTTCAATAAGCCTACTCTAGCTGGGACTAAAACTGGATTTAGTCCAAGACTATCAATATAGTCAGTCTGTTTCATGTTAAGACTTGTGTGGAGCTGGAAAACAGGCAGTAAGTACCAGGAAGCAGTAAATGGTACAGCAACATTTTAAAAGGGGGCTTTAGCCCAAAACAAGAACATCAAACTCTTTATAAGTCTTGATTAGATTTGCCTAAATACCACTGTAAAGGGGGACACTATGTAGCATAAATTTAAACTCTGGTGACTCATTATTGCTTTTACTGTATTTTTGAAAAACCAACTATTACAGTCGTGCCCCGATTAACGATTACCCCGTATAATGACGAATACGCTTCACAACGATGTTTTTGCGATCGCAATTGCGAGCGCAAAATGATGTTTTAATGGGGGTTTTTCACTTTGCGACAATCGGTTCCCTGCTTCGGGAACCGAGTCTTCACATTACGAAGATCAAAACAGCTGATTGTCGGGTTTTCAAAATGGCCCACTGTTTTTAGGATGCATTTTTCGCAAGACAGGCACCGGAAAATGGCTGCCGTATGGAGGATCTTCACTGGACAAGCAGGTATTCAGCTCATTGGAATGCATTGAACAGTTTTCAATGCATTTCAATTGCCTTTTTAATTTCGCTTTATGATGTTTTCGCTCTACAGCGATTTCGCTGGAACGAATTAATGTTGTCAAGCAAGGCACCACTGTACTCATTGGTGCTGGGAGTTGCTCTGTATTGCCATTTAAAAAAAAATCAAATCTAAAGAAAATAAGCTAGAATTTTTTGTTTAATAATGGTAGTCTTCTAGTTACTACCACACTCCTCACATATTTGTCCTACTTTACCATAATCTAATATATTTAAGACACACAGTATATCCAGTCTTTATTTCATTGCATCTGTCCTCATTATTCCTCCTTTGCGTCTTTTGCAACTTTAGGGAAGGGAACACCTTTTCTCCTTTTTATGCTGCAGAATTGGAGTTCTCAGACTTCAATTCTTTCTATTGTCTATGATACAAAGATAGATGCCTAGTCTTATTCTCCAAGGTCTGCAATTTAGCATGATATGAAAATCCCAGTGACTATTTTGTTCATTAATTGCACACTTCGTTTCTTTGTGGGAACCAAATTAACAGGAAGGAAAATTGATATGCAAGGTGCCTACCATCTAACTGGCTTTTGGCTACAGCCTCTTTCTACAGTATGGGGAGTAGCAATAACTCAGTGTTACAGCACATGTTGTGGAGCTGGTGGCATCTTTGGTGTCCCCTTTTAACATCTTTAGACAGCAGGTATTCTGAAAGACCTCTGCCAGAGATCCTGGAGAGCTACAGCCAAGCACAAGAGAGAACACTAGATTAGTCAAACAGGCCATGTTCAGACATCATAACAACCGGAATTTCAGAGACTGCCACTTTGCTGGAGATGAGACAGTATGATAATGCATACTAGCTAATCAGTCCCACTTGTCATGGAATGGCTAAACAAACAACAGAGCTTTAGTATACACTTTGATTACAGGGGTATGTAAACCTGGCAAGGAGGCTGTCCTCTGGCTTATCTCTTAATCCCAGAGTTTGTTAATCATTAGAAAAGAATCATGGCCAGAGAGCTGGCTCTTTGCTAAGTTCATGTGTCACAACACACAAATCACAGACAACAAGAGGACGCTACAAGTGGGAACAACCAGAGGGTGTGCACTACCACACTGCTTATCCTACATAAATGGCAGTTCTGCCAAATCTCCACTTATCATAAAGTCCAAACATGACCCTAATTTGACTTAGCATAATTTCTATGTCTGACATCCAGTAGCAAGTCACAACTAGAGTAGTTCCATTGAATCAGCAGAGATTTGGTGAGTCAACTCCTCTCTAAGTTCCACTGATTCAACTGAGCTACTCTAGTTGCAACTTACTAAGAAATTTCAGCCTATGTAGTCTCTCTGTAATCACTGATGGGTTAAGCACATGTAACTATGCCCTGGATTACAATCTGAGGGCAGCATCCAAAGAGGCTTCATAAATTTTAGGACACTATCCTATAATCCCTTTCTCAAGCTTTCCAAACACTGTGCGTAGATTCTAATGTAGCTGGAGGGAGCCAGAGTGGAGAAGGGTCATTTAATGTGTAACTTAGGTCTTTCATACATGAACAGTACTTTTTGTGTATGTACTATCCATAGTGCTGAACTGTCAAATGCAAACAAGCACATAAAAAGACCTTTATAAGGAGGAGAGTCTAAGTGCTGGAAACTGTAAAAGCAAAACTAATTAAAATAATAGCTTCACAGCATGTTTATGGAATTTAAGAATAGCCACACAATCAACAGAAGAGCAGTAGTGCTGTATCTCACATTTATTAACTCCATAGTCGGGAAAATGAAAAGGGCAACCTTATAAAGCAGATTAAAAGATTGCCGTCAGGTATAGACTTATTATCTTAAATATGCCTCTGTGGAAGAGATTTCTATTACTGGGCAGTTTTTACACTGTGTGAGTGAGTCTGTGTGCAATGGACTAAGTTCCACTGAAGAAAATGAGGCTTAGTTCTGAACAGATAAATCAAGGACCACATTGTAAAATTCCAGATTCTGGCTGTCTGCCTTCTCTTCCTCCTCAACGTCCACCATTTTCTTTTTGTAGTAACTGCTTTCTGTATCTTGGATTCTTTTCTGGCACATCTAAATTATAGTTCTGAACTAAAGAGAGGGCAAATGGAATAGATACCTTATACGTAAGATGTTGAAATTCATGTGAAAACCAAAGCTGAGGAGCTTCATAAGGTTTTATACAACTGGACTGACAGGCAAAAAAGGGCAAATGGTGTTCACCCTACATAACAGTAAACCAATGCACATTGAGGTGCTGAAAAATGGAATAGTGAGTTCACACGTTACCTGGGGTGATCAATAGCTTCCAAACTGACTAGCACTGACCATAAAAGGAACTCTGAGATAATGATGGGTAGCTCAATGAGAATATCCACTCAATGTACAGAAATAAAGAGGAGGATGAAGACCACGCTAAGGATTATTACAAAGGAGATTTCTATTACTGGGCAGTTTTTACACTGTGTGAGTGATCCCACCCCATGATGACATGGTAAGGTGTTGCACAACTGCAACTTTTATTCAAAACAAACTCAACTTAAAAGGCCAATTAAGTGTTAATAGGGCACCAGAGAGTTAAGCTCATTCTGTTTCTTTCTTATAAGCCTTTGGAGAACAATCTCATGGGGTGGACCAGAAACTTTTCTCCACTAGATCAAGGACTCCCTGCAGGTAGGCCAAACAATAGGTACTCCAACATATTTGTTGAATACAAGCGGTCACCTGCCCCAGCAGGTGGTTAGTGTAGGTTGCCTCTCCACCAGGCCATAGGGTCCACTGGCAGCCCTTCCTGGTTCATCAGTCTGGTAGCTTTCTGCTGAAGCTTGGCTGAACTTGATGTGTACTGAAGTTGGCTCCTTCAGTGGCAGTGTGAGGTGACTCAGTTAGCAGCAGACGTTTCTGGTTCTTATGGTGGCAGTGGTGGGCCTGATGCGTGTTCTCCACTTGGCATTCCTCACAATGATGTGCCTTGTCCCACTGCATGTGGGCAGCCTCCTCAGGGAGCACAAAGAAATCCACCCAATTGCCCATGTCTTGGTCATGACGGTGGATCACCTCCCAGCCTTTGGTGGAGAGTGCTTTCCCTACCTTCACCTCCTATATTTGCATGTCTCCTTAAGAAGGAGCCTCACCATGGCTACACCTGCCTCTTCAAAAATGTATCTCGCTGAAAATTAAATGTACAATATTAAATAGACTAATTAACAAAACAGATTTGAAAGATGTTTGGAGAGAATTAAAGGGTGAAGAAAGAAAGTTCACCTTCTACTCACAGGTGCATAATACATATTCAAGAATACATTATATATTTGTCTCTAAAAATTTACTGCCAGGGGTAAATGGCACAGCTATTTAAGTCATTCAAATATCAGGTCAAGCCAGAGTGAATATGGAATTGATGGTTAAATGTGATCATAAGGAGGCGGCAAGGTGGAAAACTGATACGAACATCTTTTGGTATCCAAACCTGATTGACATTCTTCAAAAAAATTTAGAAGAGGGAAATAAATGAGAAGGGAGGAGGGCAACCTAAGATAATCTGGGACACTATGAAATCTGTGGAAAGATGGTATGCATATAAAGCATCTTATATACTTAAAAACAGTGTGGGGGGGAGAATACAGGATTTAGAAGATAATATAAGGGAATTAAAAATAGTTATAAGAACTAGAGATAAGAAAGCTATAATAGAATTACAACCAAGGAGGAAGGAACTGGAAGGAATTCATCTGGAAAAGGTGCAAAGAAATGTAATTTATTTAAAAAGAGAATTTTGAATTTAGTAATAGGAACTCTAAGTTATTAGCTAAAGTGTCTTCTATAAAAAAGGAAAAAAGATAATATAGGACTAATTCAAGATCTGAATGGAAAAAGATGTAATAAAATGAAGGAGAAATTGGAAGCAGTTCAAATATTTTAGAAAACTATATACTAGTAAAAATCCTTTTATAATGAAAATTAAAAATTATATAAAAATAATTTTAATAAAAAAACTGTCAGATGATGATAAAAATAAAATGCAACAGTTAATTACTGATAAAGAAATAGAGGATATTATAAATACCTTAAAGACAGGAAAGACCCCTGGAACAGATAGAATAGGCCCAGAATATTATAAACTATTTAAAAAGACTATCATACCAAAGTTAAAAGTATTATTTAATAAAATATTAATGGGAGAAGAAATCCCACAATCATGGAAAGAGTCATTGATTGTTTTAATATTGAAACCAGATAAAAATCCAATAAATATGGAAGCATATAGACCCATATCACTGATAAATCAAGATGTTAGGATATTCACGGCAATAATGGCAAAGAGATTAAATAATTTTATGGGGAGTTATATTGAAAAAGATCAAAATGGATTTATACAAGGTAGACAAATATCAGATTTAATAAGAAGGGGGCTTAATTTAATGAATTTAAATAAAGAACTAACTCTAAAACTGGAGTACTATCGTTAGATATATTTAAAGCATTTGATTCAGTGGAATGGGATACGTTAAAACTTTTAATTAAATATTTAGGGTTTGGACCTAATTTTAGGCAGATAATTCACAAATTATATTCACAGAATACAGCTGGAGTAATAGTTAATGATGGAATAATTGAGAAATATACCTAGGCTGTAGTACAAGACAAGGTTGCCACTTATCTCCAGTATTATTTGCATTGATAATAAAATTACTGGCACAGATAATTAGAGATGATAAAAAGTTTATAGGGATAGAACATAAAGAAAATGGTAAGATAAGTTTGTTTCCTGATGACACATTATTAATAGTTAAAATCCAATAGAAACAACATAGAGGCTTAAATCACATTTGGAGGAATTCGAGGATATAACGGGATTAATAGTAAATTGGGGAAAGTCCAAATGTTTATTGTTAAACCACTTGGATGAGGAGAAAAGAAGAATGAAAACAATATTTGAAATGTTATTAAATATTTAGGGATTAATATTACCAGGATATAATTAAAATAAATTTGGATAGATTGAAAAAAGAGATAACTGGACAGATAAAAGATTATCAGATATTAAAGATTTTCTGGTTTGGTAGAGTAGCATTATGTAAAATGAAAATTATTTCTAAATTAAAGTGTATATTTTGGATGCTTCCTATAAAGATTACAGAACAACTGAAAGAATGGCAGATGATGATAAATTGTTACTGTAATGGAAATAAATGAATGAAGATTAGTAAGAAATTATGGTATGTGACACAAAAAATGGAGATCTTGGATTAATCAGTTTAAAATTATATTATACAGCAAATCAACTCAGACACATCCCAGATATTATTAAAGGTAATAAAAATTTGGACAGAAATAGAAATGCATTGAAAGTATATTGTTTAAAGAAAGAGATTAAAAAGACTACTAACCCTTTCCTTAAAAATATGTTAGAAAATTGGAAAAAGTTTAGGGTGTATTGAGCCCACCGATTTCTCCCTTATCCCAGGTTGTGGATTTAAATAATTTTACAGAAAATCTTTAAAAACTCTTATGAATATATTAAAAGATAAAGGGATAAATAGGATAAAAGATTGGATGGAGAAGACTGAAGATACTGTAAAGGAAATATAATAGATCTTGGGAGGAGAGGGGATTTATTGATTTACTATTATTCAAATAGAAAGGTGGACAAGGGAATGGAAAAGGAAGGGGAAAGTAGAAAAATGACAAAATTTGAAGAGATTATTGAAAAAAGTCTGAAATTAGAGGAAAAGAAAGAAAGGGAACTGTAAGTCAAATATATCAGCGCTGCCCCGCTTGACGATGACCCCGTTTCGCGACAAAATCACTTAATGATGAGTTTTTTTGCGATCACGCAAGACAATGTTTCTATGGGTTTTTTCGCTTAACGATGACTAGTTCCCTGCTTTGGGAACCGTTTTTTCACTGCATGATGATTAGAAACAGCTGATTGTCGGGTTTTCAAAATGGCTCCCCGCTGTTTTCCGGACCTATTTCCGGAAGACAGTGATCAAAAATGGCTTCCCCTATGGAGGATCTTCGCAAAATGAGCAGATATTTCTCCCACTGGAACGCATTAATCGGTTTTTAATGCATTCCAATGGGTTTTTTACTTTCGCATGACGACAATTTCGCTTTACAGCGATTTTGCTGAAACAGATTATTGTCGTCATGCGGGGCACCACTGTAAATTATTAATTCAGGCTGAACAGGATACACAAGGATGAAAAGCACAGTGGCAACATGATTTGGATAAAGAAGCACTAGAAGAAGAATGGGATAAAATGTGGAATCAAAGAATTATGAAGAACATGTCTGTAAGGATAATGGAAAACTGTTATAACGTAATATGGAGGTGGTAGTTAATTCTGGTAAAACTGAATATAATAAATAAAAACCTATCATCACTATGTTGGAGATGTAAAAAAGAGAAGGAGACGTATTTACATATGTGATGGTTAAGTGAAGTAAGAAAAAATGGAAACAAATCTTTAAAGAAATAAGGGAAATAACTGGATTAAATATTAAAATGTCCCCATCAATGGCTTTATTGGACATGGTTAAGAAAGATCAATTGTTGACAGAAAATAGGGATTTATTTGTAATAATCGGTACGGCAGCAAGGTTAATTTTGCAAGAAATTGGAAAAATGATAACCAAATCAATTTAGAGGAATGGTAGAGAAAATTATGGGATATGACAATTAATGATAAATTGACATGTGATATGAAAATAAGAAAAGGCCTATCAAAAAATAATGATTTTAAGAAAATATGGAATGTATTTTTGGAATATGTATTTCGGAGAGGGAAGGGGTATACGCCAAGAGGAAGAAACAATGAAGTTTTCGAGAGAAAATGGATTGAATGAATTTTAGAAATATTATTAATGCTAGCTGTGAGGGTAAAAGTGGCACTGGCATATTATGTAATTGTATTTTATTGTGGTATTAGGTTTATGTTGTTTAGGTTGGATGTTTGTTCAATAATTTTTTTGAAAAGTATCTCGCCTCCTTATTATTGCTGCCCCAGTCTACTGAGGAGCTAGGCATCGGGAAGGTCAATGCTTGACATGCCAAGGTGAGGAGCCCACCAGCCTGACTAGAGGGACCCTCATTGGCCACACACAGTATTACTACACATCACTGTCTGCAGTTCTACTTGCTTCATAGAGATGTGATCAAACAAACAAACAAAAAACAAAAAATGCGAAGCTTGGAAAGTTATTTTTAAAAAGTAATCAGTTACAGGTATAATTCCAAGGCTCCTCTTAAACTAGATACAATACTTACCATTACAGAATTTTAAAAACCCTTTACTATTTCTTAGAAGTAAAATTTTGACCTACTTTCTAAAAATCTGAAGATTACAAACTACTGTACGCACTGGTCTATGAAACCCACTTTCATGTCATATTCCTCTTCATTGTTTCAACATGCGCAGAGTGTGAGGCAGTCCCATGAGCCTACAGTAGAAGCAGGTATTATTTCTATTCTACTATTTACTGAGGCCACACTGCCATTAGGATAAAAATAACTAACATATTACTGTTACAGTACAAAAGAAGTGAAGTTATACCTTGCTATGTTACAATCCTTACAAAATGTAGTTCCCCCTTTATTACTAGAAAGAGAAATAAATAACCTACAAATACCTATTTACTTCTAACTGTTACTTCCAAGCACTAATAAAATGTACAGGAAAAGGAAAGCAAACCAATAAAGGATTTTGATTCATTTCTTCCAACATTTCAGGCACCTGCTGACTATCCATCTTGTATTAACCAAGTTATGTGCTATCATTGTGTGGGAGGGTAGGAGATGAATGAATTTCAAGCACTGGAAAGGTTTCAGGTTTAAGTGAAGAAAAAAAGAAGAGTTAAACAAGATATATACTCAAAATATTATTGGAGGGCTTTGTTTTTTGGAAATAAAAGGAAAAGTTAGTGTAAAGGGAAGACTGGCTGAGTTTGACTCAGATTTTCTTTAGGTGGCCATCAAGCAGGGCCTGTCTCCATGGCTGCATACACTATCCCCACTTTAAAGAGGAGTTAAACCAGAAAGTACACCGTCAACAGGATAAGACTGTGAAGGAACCTCTGGAAATAAAGCACACTAGGGGCCTTGTATTCTTGTGGTGGACTATAGGAGAGTCAACTATCATGGAAGATCTGAAAAATGTGTCAGCATAATTTCATAAATCAGATATTCATACATTTAACACACAATCTCCTCTGCATAAAAATGTTATATTTGTATTGACATGAAAACAAGGTATGTACAACTGGCACGTCTATTTATTCCAGATTTAGCAAGAACGATCAATTCAGAAATACCAGAATTAACATGAACTACAACCACAGGGGAAGAATAATAATAGTCTTTCTCATTTGAGAAGAATACGATTTTTTAATATTGGATCTAAAATCCATCAGAACACTAAAAAGCCACACAAAAAAAATTAAAGCACCAATTGGATAATTAACAAACAACAGTGAGGCATCAGTCACGGTGCTTTGTAGTAATTGTTAGTATTTTTGTCTTACCTTCCCTGCACTTGCAACACTAAGTTGCAGCCATAGGAGTCCAAATGGCATGGAGTGTTTGCTCCAGATGAGCCAATCCACAAAGTACTCTCCTTTCCATTTCTTCCCGGAAATCCAAAGTCAGACCACATTATGTCCTGTTGCAGAAAGATTTCATATTCAACAATAATATATATATCCTGTTAACTAGCCACTCTCCATCGCTATCTCCCTTGTGTTCCTTGCACTCTTTGTGGTTGTAGCAATTTCACAAAGCTCCATTTTTCTTTAATTTATACCACGGTGGGCAACGTGTTGCTCTCCAGATGTTGTTAGACTGCAACTTTCATCAGCCCCCAACAGTATAGCTGTTGATGGGGGGTCATGAGGCTGGCAGGGGAACAATATCTGGAGGACAACACTTCTCACTCTCATTTTACATTGTCTCGGGTCATTTGTGACAAAGATATCAACCGAAGCAACTGACACTTCAAAATTAATATTTATAGTTGATATCATGTAGCTCCACCTGTGCAACAGATCTGACAACACCATTGGTGAGAAAGTGCTGCTAATTAAATATTTCCTCTTCTGTTTCGGAATGCATACAACTCACATGCACTGATAAGAAGTTGCATGGACCCCAAAACTGAAAACAGAACTCTTTGCTTAACACCAGTTTTCTGCTACTGGTGACATCACTCCCATTGCATAGGCAGAGGATGCTGGCCAATACAATGAATGGAGGCAGTTATCCATTGCTGTCATCTTTATTTAAAGGAAAATAACCTTTAAATATTGGTATTCTAACTTCTCAACTGCCAGTTACTCTTTGTGGTCCATGACTCAGGTGATCATTTGCCATATGGCAGTTTGCCTCCTCATGCATGTAAACACGGCAAACAAGTTCGCCATAGAGTTTTGGATAGTCATTTTAAGTTGTGTACAACTTGCACACATTAAGACAAAGTCAAGTGTGCAATCAGAAATCAAAGCGGGAATCCTTTAATTAGCAGCAATATGCTGCTGCCAGTGATGTTGTCCCTGTCACACCAGCAGAGCTATGCAACAGAATACTAGCCACCATTACAGGAATAATGGAATAAAGCATTGTGATATTTAGACATCACACACTGAATAGTAGATGGATACAATCAACCAGTTTATCACTCCCATACCATAAGAATGTGATAAAATTCACCTTATACCATGTCAAGATGACATAAAGCAGGGGTCCCCAATCCCCAGGCTGTGGACCAGTCCTGGTCCGTGGCCTTGAAAGAACCAGGCTGCGAGGACAGATGAGCGGCAAGCAGGAGGTGAGTGGCGAGTGAAGCTCCGCCTCCTGTCAGCGTGTTCCTACTAGTTTCTAAGCCCCTGCTCGCCATTTCCTTTATAAGCTCAATTCAAAGCTATTCTCCGACAACCTACTGCAGAACAAGTAACCCCTCCCCCCCCGTCCTTGGGAGAATGGTCTTCAACTAAACCAGTCCCTGGTGTCAAAAAGGCTGGGGACCACTGATATAAAGAACCACACAAGATAGTGAACAATTTGTTTCCAAGGTAATTTAGGCTTCAGAATTGTCCTTCTAAGTCAGGGATCTCAAACTCAATTTACCTGGGGGCCGCTGGAGGCAGAGTCTGGCTGAGGCTGGGCCGCATCAAATTTTCTGCCAAGCGGAGCAAGAGAGGAAGCCGCCCAGGAGTTTCCTTAGCCTGGCTGGAGCTCCGAGGAGGAGGAGGGGCACACGAGCCCTTGTCGCTGGCCACGACCTCCTCAGGCTCCTTCTTTACACTCACCACCAGCAGCAGCAGGACAAAAAGCAGAGAAGGGAGGGAGCGTAGGTGACCGCCTAGCCTGGGGGCCGCAGAGGGAGGAGGGCATGACATAAAATTAAAAAAAACCTCACAGAATCGCCTTGCCAAAGGAGAAACCCCCCCCATCAGTACCCGCAAAATTAAACATAATGGGGTGGGGCCCCCAAAGATGTGTGAGCACACACAAACAGAGGTCTGGCAACCTTCCTCTGAGGGCCCCCCTCAAAAAAAGGCGCACTCAGCAGCAGCTATCCCCACCATGACAGAGGAGCAAACTTTGCGAAGTGAGCCTAGGCAGCCTCCAGAGCTGAGGTGGCTGAAGCAGTAAGATGAGGAGGAGGAAGCACCGCTGGGTGCTGAGGCGGCCACTGGCCGGGCTGGTGCTGGGGGTGCCGAGAGAGAAAGAGAGCCAGAGAGCTGCTTCCCTGGAAGAGGCGGTGGCTGCTGCTGTTGTTGATGGCTTGGAGGCGCTCTTCGAGGACGGGCCAGGAGCAAGCTTCGCTCTCAGGCATCGCTTGGCGGCAGATCGGGCACTTGGGGGAAAGGGCCAGCAGTGCGCCTCCCTCGCCGGCTCTCCCACAGAACAGTGCCTCTTGCACCCTCCGTCTGGAACTGTAGCCTGGCAGCCAACAGACAGGCTGTCTTGGGGGAGACCCGATGAGTGAGGTGAGGTTTTTTTTTACTCTTGACAGCAGAGGACGCGTGGGCGCTTCAGGGGGGCAGGTCAGGCGGGGGCCACAAACTATCATCCGGCGGGGGGGCAGGTCAGGCAGGGGCCACAAACTATCATCCGGCGGGCCACAAATGGCTCCCGGGCCGCATGTTCGAGACCCCTGTTCTAAGTACTATGGAGAATTTTTAGCCATTCCAGGAGCCGATGCGTGGTAAAATGGTTGTCCAAAACTTTAGACTAGATTTTGGGTAGCATACAAATTAATCAGAATGAGACAAAGTACTATGCAACTTCAGGCAGGGGCCACAAACTATCATCCGGCGGGCCACAAATGGCTCCCGGGCCGCATGTTCGAGACCCCTGTTCTAAGTACTATGGAGAATTTTTAGCCATTCCAGGAGCCGATGCGTGGTAAAATGGTTGTCCAAAACTTTAGACTAGATTTTGGGTAGCATACAAATTAATCAGAATGAGACAAAGTACTATGCAACTAGAAATCAAAGCAGAAACCTTTTAATTAGCAGCAATCTGCTGCTGGTGGTGATGCCACTCCTGCTGCACCAACAGATCTACACAAGAGCATTTTGGTTTTCTTTTTTGTCGAGAAAACCAATAGTGGACTATACCTAGAATTTCTCAGAACTTACTTAGGTAAGCAAAACATCACCCCACTTTAATAAACATATAAACTTAATTACTTGTCCTTGTTATGATACCAAATGTGGAGATGTACATAAGGTGACAGATGAGGACTCAAGCGATCTGGGCTTGAATCCCTAATCAGCCATGGATACTCTAGGTGTACATTATTTTTAGGAAAGTCACTGCCACCTTCATCACCCATTCCATTATTGCCTTCCTGAAACAAGGTGCATCAGTACTGGCAAAATTCCAGAGTTTTGTCTCAAATGGGTGGAATATCCTCTGAAAGAGCTTGTATCAGAGACACAGCATCTGTGGAAGGGAGGGGACAATTTTCATTTATTGCTGTCCTCCATGCATCCTCCTGTGTCTTCCAAAATCTGCTTTAAAGATTTAAGGAATGTTTAGGGATTACAAGGGCACCATAGGAATCCCAGCAAGATCTCAGTCTTGTCCTGGAATGGAAGGACTTCTTCATGGACATCAAGCTAGAATCCAATCAAACCTAATCTCAGAAAAGCATTCATTAAACAACTATATCTACTTTAATAAATTGAACAGGATTAATTTGTGAGTGTAGTCAAATAACCTTCAAAATCATCAAGTAAATAATAACAAATTAATTTGGATTCCAAATACAATAGGATAGTAGAAACTTGGCTGCAAACCAATTTTACTAAGGACAAAGTCATCCAGTTATTTTCAAAGACAAGGTTCTTCTAATGAAACAGTTCCATTGGTCTTAGGGAGGTATCTAATGCTCACAGTGCAATTTTTTTTTTTGCCAAGAACACTGGCAGTATTATATTTAAAACAAACAAACAAAAACAACTAAAAAATACCATAGAAGATTAATGCCAAATTAATACCCAGATCAGAGGACAGCAGAAGAGGGGCATTAACACAGATCTCTTTTCTAAAGGGAAGGGGAAAGGCCTTGAATTTATGCTCAAAACCAGATATTTGCCATGACATAATCACAGAATCATAGAATTGTAAAGCCAGAAAGAACCCAAAGGATTGGGTCTAGCCCTCTGTCAATGCAGGAAGCTTAAATACTCTATGTATTATGATTTCATTAAGTTTCAGTTTTCTTAAAAAAATAAAGTTTTTTTAAATAAACATTTAAGTCTTTCTTCAGAGGAGAAAGTCAACTTTGGGAGGTTCTCCATCTCACATCTATCTATCTATCTATCTATCTATCTATCTATCTATCTATCTATCTATCTATCTATCTATCTATCTATCTATCTATCTATCTATCTATCTATCTATCTATCTATCCATCCATCCATCCATCCATCCATCCATCCATCCATCCATCCATCCATCCATCCATCCATCCACCCACCCATCCATATTTATGTAAATTAAGTATATGTGCCTGATTCACCCATCTATTTATTTTTCCGTGCCCTGACATATTAAAAAAACTCCTGTCTGTTAAATTAAGTGTATGTGCCTGATTCACCCATCTATTTTTTTTCCGTACCCTGACATATTAAAAAAACTCCTGTCTGTGATACTGTGACTAGTATAATCAATCTAATAGACATTTGGTGCAGTGTCACATCATTGCGAAAACAATGACTTCTATTTGTGTGTGTGTGCATGCTTCTCTCTCTCTACTAATGAGTTATGAAGCCTGTTCCACATATGGACCAGTGGTATGTATGAACCAGAATGCAGAATGTGCACCTGATATTTCCTACAGACAAAAGAGTGTTTGAACAGTTCTCTTTATAGGGGTGTTGCCTTCCTGGGAGAAAGGATGCTGAATGCTTCCTACATTTTCTGTGTTAATGTCTATATGACCCTTAGGACATATAAAATACATATTGATCTTAAAAGTACATACTATTGGTAGCAATATACCAATAGGCTAAAGGTGGGCAAAATACAGTCCTAATGTTTGTTGTTTCTTTCTGTTTGTTTTTTTATCCCCACAAACCCAAGAAAAATCCAGATCTAAAATAACTGCCTCTGAAATCCGTCACCGCAATCTGCTCTTAAAAACTGGTGGCA